TGGGCACGGGGGGGTCTCCTCCAGCAAGAGCCCCCGCAGCCCCCAGCCGTCACCCCTGTGGGCAGCACTGCCCTGACCCCTGCCCAGCCGAATGCCCTGGGTGCGGGGGCCAGGACAGGGATGCTCTGGTCCCCTGCCCCAGACAGGACACAAGGCTGGGGGGCACGGCTCCAATTTAAGCAGATGGGGCAGCAGCTCTGCTCCCCCAACACTGGGGAAGGATGGACCCCTGGCCACCCACCCCGAGAGCCGGTCACTGGGTCCCGGCTGGGCACCATCAAGCCCCCACTGTCTCCCTTACCCTACTCCTTACCATCTCCTCACCCCAAACATCGTACTTAGGGTGGAGCAGAGGTGCAGCTCCGTAGTAAGGAAAACCGTTCCACCCATGGGGGATGTGGGCAAGCCAGCCCAGTTTCTCTGCACAATCATACTCAGAGGGCAAGATTTTGGAGATATTATGGAGAATGAGCTCTTGGGCACCAAAAGGAACAGCACCAGCCCGAGTGGTGCTCCAAGGATGCTGTACCGCTGCGGTTGGGGGGTGAGGAGAGGGGCTGGGGCTGGCAGAGCACGTCTGGATCTGTGCCGCAGCGAGCGCTGTGGAAGCACGAGATGTGATCACAGTGTGAGAGAAATATCAGGAACCCCCTTGGAGGACACAAAGCTAGATTACCAGAAAATCAGCTTTTGGGTGGGTTGGTTTTTTTTTTAAGAGAGGAAGATGAAGGACTGGCAAACAGAAACACATTCATCCCAAGGGCTGCAAACTGCAAACCTGGCAGGTTCGGGCCAGCCGGATCCTCACCTCGACAGCCTTGCACGGCCCTGCCAGTTTGGTGCCACTCTGGTTCATGAGCCCAACTGCTCTGGCTCAGCAAAGCCAGACTCTGAGCACACACCCGGCTCAGCAAAGCTGGACTCTGGGCACACACCCTACTCAGCAAAACCCAGGTGCGCGGTGGCAGGCAAACCAAACCTGCTCGGCTTCGTCTCCAAACCACCCATGCTTTCCTCTGATCATGGCCAAGAGTCACCTTGCCAGCTCCAAGGTCCAGTTTTAATCACTTAAACATATTTTTTACACACCCCAAAAAAAAGAGCTTTCACAAGAAAGTTAGGGAACGCCAGGAGGGTGGGTTTCAAACAGCCGGGTCTCACTTCAGATGCCTTGTGTGGCTGGTGGAGTTAAAAAAAAATGATGCTGAAAAAAAAAAGAAGGCAAATCCTACAGCTAAAAAGGAAATTGCATTAATACAGATTGTTTTATTTAAAAAAAGCAAACCCTGACCTCTACTTCAAAAAAGTCATTAGACATTCTCCTTCTGAAAGGCCGACGGGATATTACTGAAAGGCCAGTTAATTTCTCAATGACTTACTGTTCTTGCTCTGCTCATGGAAATGTGTAAAGAGTCGGAGGGTAATTTAAGGCACCCTGCAGAAAGGTGTGTAAATCTTTGCATGTCTAAAGAAACTTTACCAGACCACTAGGATTGGGAAAAAAGAAAATGCTTGCCCTCTTTTTTTTTTTTTTTACTTTTTTTTTTTTTTTTAACTTTCCTTTGGAACTCTGATCCCCTTTGATCATAAAAAAGGTCATATTTCACCCAAAAAAATATCAGCAATCACAGGGCCCGAGGAAGTGCGAACCCAAGGGGGTTTCACCGACGATTATTCCCTCCATTTAATTATTTAATGCCGTGAACTGAGGGAAAGCCGTCTCCCCTGGAAAAGCCAGACAGTTCAAGAAGAAGGTCTGGCCCTGAACAAGGAGGAGGAAGAGGGTTA